GACAGGAGCCAGCTTGCTGGCAAAGGAGAAGAGAGCCTTGGTGAGCTTTTCAGCATCTCCGAGCCACTGTCTCAGGAAACAGGAAAATATTAACATGCAGAAACAGAGCAACAAATGACTACACAAACTGAAACTGCTCAGCTAAATCAATCATGATTGAATCTAGAACCCAATACGTTTGCATAGAAGATATTTGTTACTGCCAAAACTACAAACAGAAGCATACATATCAGTGCTAATTTTGTGACCTTGATTATTGTAGGCAAGAGAACGTGAAACACAGCTAAGGTCTGCATCTTGGAACTTAAACCTAAAATAAGTGGATACAGCATCAATTTCTTAATGTACCTTTGAAGTAAGAGTTGAACCAGTAATATTGATAAAGTTTGCCTCTGCCTCTGTTGCAAGTGCTTTGGCAAGAAGGGTTTTCCCAGTTCCAGGAGGTCCAAAAAGCAAAATTCCTTTGCACGGCTGGAAAGGGCTTTACAAAATCATGCACTGAAAAATGGCTAACAAGGATTGTGCATATTAGGTGTAAAATCAGTACCCGCAACAAGTTTCCACGAGAGAAAAGTTCTGGTCTCCTCATAGGAAGAATGACGAGTTCATTCAAAGCCTTCTTCACATCTTCAAGAGCACCTACATCACTGAATTTGACACCAATTTCACCCGGAGCTACCACAGCTGAAACAAAGTTGCTTTCATACTCATCCTTGGCCATGTTCTGCTGATATTTCTATTCATTAGCAATGAGCATATAATATGTAAAGCTCTCAACATTCTCAAACCATTGAGAAGACCGAATTGTTACACATGCCTTCAGATTCTGTGATGGCTTTTCAGATATGGTTTCTTGCTCCTTCAACCTCACGATTGCTATCTCAAGGCTTTACATGAAAAGAATAGATATCAGCTTTGACATCCCAAAACTTTGACTAACATACAAGCATGAGGTAGGTATACCTTTCACGAGGCAAAGACAATTGGTCCCCCTTTATGCATGGGAGCAGGCAAGATGATAAGTAATGATTCTTCGCCCAGCCAATAACCTTTTCAGCCTCTGCAAAACAAAAATGACATGTCAATTTACAGATCCAAAAGGTGTATCAGAAAAGGAAAAAAAAATTGTTCAGCCTTCATTTGTAAAGTTGAACTTGTCAAACTAGTTAGGCTTGTAAACGTTTTTAGAAAAGCAAAGGTAAAGGTTATCATATTGATATTTAGACTTTTTTTCTGGTGAAGAAAACTTTCATTCCTTCTTTGATTTGTAAAATTGAGCAGCTACTTTTTTCCCAAAAAACTTCACAGTCAACATACAGATTTTGCGATGTTAGATACAGAACCAACAGTTTGATAATAAGCAGAAATCAGCTAAAAATATGTTATTTTCAGTTTCTTACTCTGCTTTGTTAGAATCAGACCATCAGTGTTTACATGCAATAGGTCCATGCATGACATCTCATTTTCTTCAAGAACCTGCATTAGAATTATATCAGCAAATTCCAAAGACAAATAGTGCACAAAAGCATGGGTATCAAATTACCTAGCGCAACTTGAAATTTAAAAAGTCCACTCCATTTAACAAGTAAAGCAACTATAACACTGCCATGGTGAAACAACCTTTTACAGTGAGTCCCTACCTTGTGCAGTTCATTTAAATTACTCCTCGATATAACAATTTTCCTGTCCTCATCAACCTGTTTATTGAATGTTATAAGAAGATCTTCCTCCTGTATGCAGCAGGGAAAAAAATATACAATCAAAATGATTAAAAAAAACAGAGAGATAAAGCCACATTGGAAATATAGTAAAGCATTAGATCTCATCAGGACAGAAGCCAGTGCAGTTTGACGAGAAGGATTTCATGTTCCAACCCTACCATCTAAACCTCCAAGTAAGCTTCAGTCATGATCTCACTAGACACCAAAGCCAGTAAAAACATGCTACCATCACAATTTCCTTCAAAGGAAAGCACATTTCCTTAAACACAGGCAGACCTGCAAAAAACACTTTTGTTCCATTCTAGGCATTAAACGGCATACATTACATTTTCATAAAATTGTGGGGGTTAACTACTTTGGCTCTAAATTCAACATTTGGTTTGTGTAGAACACTGATCACTCGTACACACACACTTATTAAGGTTTAAACCATACATTAAGGGATCGCAAGAAAGAGGAGGAACGAGGTAAGAAGGTAAAACTAAAACAAAAACTTGAAAAACAAGACAGTATTACAACTGCAGTTACTCTGGAATACAGCATGCGTCTTTTCATTTTTTAAAACATATCAGAATACAGAAAGATACAACAGTCATACCTTTGGGGGATTGAGGCACAAAATATTGGTGAAGAGCTTGTATATATCATTTTCATTGGATCTCTTTGCCCCTTTGAGTCCCTCAGTGAGATGCGTCAAGGATAGAGGCTGGAAATTAAAATCACTTTTGGGTTAATTACATAGAAACAATAGCAAAGCTCAAAGCTGCCTAAACAATAGCAAAGCTCAAAGCTGCCTTTGATAAATATGATACTAATCTTAAGATTTTCTTTCAAATTCTTAACATTTTAGAAGTTTTGCAAGCCTTACCAGCTTTGCCAGATGACCCAAATTTGGGAGAACCATTGTCTGTTGAGTATGAGATTCAAAGGAAAAGGATACAAATGAGAAGAAAATGGAATGAATGTTATCCACAGCTTGAAAGACAATTGAAAAGGGAATCAAATGCTTCCAACGTGTATGTATGTGGATGAGTGCATATAACTTGATAAACTTTTGAAACCTACAAATCTTTCTTTCTCCTTTGACCCTGTTTCAGCTTTGTTCTGTCCACAAATCAAAACAACAGGTCCTGGTAATTGGTCAAACATTTCCTGCACCTTGCTTACAAAATCCTTGTGGTTTGACTTGGAAACCACCCTAGACAACCACTGAGAAGAATCTGCAAAATAGACAATAATGGGTTGCATGGAACACAAAACCTGCAAATTAGGGAAGACCAAAATTAATCTTAACAGCAAAATCAAGACAAGTAGCGATTGACAGCAAAAGAAAATATCAGACAATAATACCTCACACAGAACCTCCATCGCAATATAGCAGTCTTCTGTCTCGGTATCAGGATCATGCTCGATATCCTTAGCTGTACATCAGCCAAAGTTCGGTTATTTACACCCATGCAAACACAGGCCACCTATATAGTTAAAGGGGTAAGCCAGGTTTTAAATTTCCAGATTGGGCTTTTTAATTCAAAGATCCAAATGATGCTTCAACACCTCATACAATTTTCATAAAGCTGATGACCTTCATCAACTTTAACATCATTTCGATTTAAGTAGTTACTGGTGCAAGGAATTACCATCTATCCAACAAACTGGTGCTTTTGCAGGCTGCTCTTGGAGTTTCTCATCCTTCTCTCCTTCATTTGATTTGTTATCATTACCAATATCCAAAATAACAGCGACTTGATCTCCATTCATCTCATATACTTCCCCACGTTGACCACTTGATATAGGCCTGAAAACATAACTCTCTCTGATCAAAAGTTCTGCCTGCCAATGTCATGAGCGCAGGAAATATGAAAGTGCATGCGCTCTAATGTCGATTGAATTAAAGTTCTTCCAAAGCCTATAACAAAAATTTTCTTAGCTTTGTTAGTCCAAGTAAATGAGCAAGTCTAATGAGACTAAAGGTGATCTTATGCTGTTTTAAGAAAAATAAGAGCTTATATCTGGTTAAAGCTATTGCAAAGATAATTTATGGTCAGAATAACTTATCACAAGTTTCACTTGACATGAGTCCAAAGCATAGCATGTAAGGCTAAATCATAACATATGCTGAAGATCATGCACTACCTCATAAAGTTGGCATTTCAGTGTTAGAAGACAAAGCCTTAGAAAAGCAAAAGACTTCTTATTTATTCACCACTCTTTCTACACTTTCAAACTGTCAAATGTAATAAATCAACACATCTGAAAGCTTCTGCATTTCCGTGGGGCATCTGAACTTGAAAGAAACAGGGTAAGCAATGCTGCAGAATATTGAGACAGCAGCAGACCATTTTATGACCTAAATCTAGCAAGCACCACCAGATGGGCAGCGCCAACAAATGATCATCTAGAATTGTGTACCAAGAACACACTGCTGGTCAATGACAACTCCACCAGAATCATCCACTCTACCTAAGACAATAGTTGTTTCTTAACTAAGTAAATGAATAATGACCAAAAGCTGTTTTGATAACAAATTCAAAAGTGCTGATACTATACAACTTTGTGTGTTGTCTCATCCATCTATATGCTGCAAATTTGCTAAAAGGAAATTGTCAGTTTCCTACTGATGCCTAAAAGTTCTATATGAAGGCAAACATATATTACTTGAATTTCTTTTTTTACGTTAAAAATGGCATGCAAGTATTAACAGCATGACCAGTGATGTTTTTAAGCCTCCTTAAGCATCTACATGTTTGCTTAAATTTGATGAGTATGTAGATATTTGTGTCTTTATCGCTGTAAGTCCCTCTGAACTTAATTTTTTTTTTCTGAATATCAATATGTGGAATCCCTGGTGTAAAATATTTGAAATGCTTCGGGAAAAGAAGATGCAGTGGATACTTAAAGTGCTTGACAAAATTTACCGGGTTAGGTCCCCATCCCAAACAATTAACCTTTAAAAGAAAATTTATCGTGATTAGCAGGGTAGTTGGAGAATTTTCTGAAGGTAGGAACCATGCTGAGTAGTTGGAACTCGCATTTAACATGCAAGTACTTAACTGTTTAATACAAGATAACAAAACATCTCCGCTTGCTCTCTAGAATGGACCAGAGTAGGAATTGCTAGATCTAGGATACAAAAGCAGAAGCACATGTCAAAATGTAAGAACCTCTAATATCCCCAGGTTTGTGAAACATGTAATCCCACCCACCAAAGAAAATAATTCTGTGTGGTACAGTATTCACAAAAGAGAAAGCAGAAAATGAAAGGAAATGCCTTGGTGAATTGTATCCTGACAGAAAATGAAGCCACCTAGGCCAGAAGCAGCTCCAATAAAATGTCACCAATGCAATGTCATCTATATCAGCGTTCACAATAATTATCACATTTGAATCAGGTATAGCTCAATAATTTTCTGAAACAAGCATTGCCTTTTTCAGCTACTTTGCTTCATCAAGGTGTTCAGTGCAAATTTTTTCAAAGGAATATCCTTAGCAGACAAGTAAAGAGATTTGGGTGAGCTCTTTTGTTCTAATTTTTGTACCACAATCAACCTCTCCTAACTTTCTCCCATCTATCAACAGCAAAAAAAACAGTGCCGTCTATGTGGTTCAGTTCTGCACAACAGGACAACTAACCAACCCACCAGCCACGGATTAGTGGTATAAGCATTTTTCAGACCATCAGATATTGGTATCTTCCCCAATATAAACCTGTGATGTCAAATTTTATGTGGTTGATGAGGTTAAGCACAATGATTTTAAAAAAAAAATGACCAGAATACTGTTATTGCCACCATCTTATTTTCAAATCTGCGAGGTTAAGCACAATGATTTTAAAAAAAAATGACCAGAATACCCGTGGTCTTAATAGTCATGTATCAAACCAGTCATTTGATTGCCACCATCTTATTTTCAAATCTGAGCCTTTTGCAAATAAGTGGTTTTGTTTGTTTTGAATACTGTTATTGTATTTCTGCATCTAACAATTTGTATTTTGTATGCATGTTCAGGACAATTTCCTGTCTTTATTCTTTTTTAGTTTTTTTCCCCTTATTTTGGTTCTCTTTTCTTTTTGAAAGCATGTGATTTGTTAAGAACAGCACACATACACAAGCAACAAATATAATGTATAGCAAAGAAGCGAGTCAAACTCTTAGATCTGTAACAGGTCCTTCAATAGATCATTGAATGATCTGCATCCTTGTATGTATACATTTAGAAAATATTTAATTATGACATTGAACTTTCTATTTTGCTAATGTGTAAAAAGAGGAAAGATCTATTATGTCTTAAATGCGACAAAAGGGAGATGAAATAGTACCTATCATCAGCCTCAATGCGTATGGATGGCCCCACGTACTTCACCCGATCCCCTAATAAAAGATGACAAAGCAAGATAAATGGATGAATGGAGAAAACCATAAAAAATGTCAAACTTCCTTTTAAAAAAAAAATTCAGCAATGCAAAATGCCTAAAATCAACAATAACACAATAATACTGTAAATATTGCTATTTAAATTTGTTCAAATTGAACATGAAAACCATCAGAATTCAAATACCATCGTAACATCAAATAATCCAAGCACGGCCATGATAGCATCTTCACTCAAAAACATGCAGCAGCTACTACTACTATTACTACTAGAAACATTACCACCATAAACCAACCTGCAATGACTGCCTTAAAAAATACAAAGGAATGGAAACAAAGCTTATCAGAGAAATATGTTTGCACTTATTTGAAAAACAGAAACTAGTGAAAGCTTATCAGAGAAATATGTTTGCACTTATCAGAGAATACATTGGCAATTAGGGAAAAAACATGTTACAGAGCATAGTTCTAAAATGGAAAATAAATAAAAGCATGGTGCAAGGATAGTTGGAAAAAAGTAACCTTTATTAAGTGGCCTTTTGAGGGTCTCAGAAGTGTCTTCAGCCTCATTCTTTGAGGACTTGGAGGAACTGTCATATTCTCCAGAGACTCTCTGCCATAATATGAATACACAGTCAGAAAGTCTACCGTGCTCTTCATTAAAAAATAAAAATTCTGATAACCAGAAATTAGGAAATATTTACAGTTTGCCACGGTTGCCCACAATCCACAAAATAAAAATTAATTATGAAAAATTAGAAAGCAATAAGTTTTAATTGAAAATTTTTTTCAGCAGCCATAATTTCATAAAGGTCCATAGCAGCAAAAGGAATAAGAAACCAATTGGTCAAGCATATTAAAACATCAAAAGCATCATTCTGAGACCATCATCACATGTTTCCTTCCTTTACACACTCTTGTCTGTATCAAACAAGTGGAACTGCTTTCCGAGTCACTATATTATCCCCAATTCAAGACCTAGTGTTGATGAGATCAAGTTAGCATCTCACAGAATATTTTCCTAATCCACTCCATACCATTCCTCCAATTTGCACCAAACAGTGAGTGGTAAAATACCTTGTATCAGACAGCTGATACTTTAGAAAACATACCTTCTCAAATTCTTCTAGGCTGAAGGGAAGAAGCTTCTTCAGGGATGCCTCAGCAGTTGCCTCTACATCAACTGCATCATCATCACTGAAATCTGATTTAGCCTCAACACTGCTTGTCCACTCCTCTTCATTGACTGCGTCATTTTCGTCCTCAACTTCTGACTCTGAAATACCATCCTCCACAGATTCTGCACTATCATCTGGTACACACTCATCATCTCCAAAATCCTGGTACAGGATCAAAATAATGATCACTAAAACTTAGTTTGGATATCAGAAATATCCAGAAATTGTCTTAATCTTACATAATGCGCAAGAACACCACTATCAAGCACCAGCAGGGGAACCTGTAAATCCTGTGCCAGTGCTTTAACAGTTCTTTCCCGATAAAGCTCGGTTCCTGTATATGGCATCAAGACATGGCTAACTGATTCAAAAGCTCATTTTTGGTTTTATCAATAGGACTCAAGAATATAAAACAAAAAATGAAACAAAGCAGCAAACAAGTTTCAAAACAGATGGTTAGTAATCGACCTGGAACACTCTGGAGCAGAATTCTCCCACTCGAAGATTGCAGACGAGCCCCGTAGGAAGTGGTGCATTTTTTATGTTTCAAATGGGAAGCAACGCATTCCACCAGAGTATTTTTGGTGTGCTCACTAGAAGAGAACATGAATCATTAATGAATTTCCCAAACTGAGTGATTTAGTAATAGCCGAACCTAGTAGTTTTAAGATTAAAAAGAAAAAAAAAAGAGGCTGATGAGAAATAACAAAGACTAGTTGGGGCATTTACTTGATGTAGTACGGAAAATTATCCCAGGAAACATGCAGCTTCTCCCATGGAACAATTCGCCTCAAGAATTCATTTTTAAACTTTTCTCTTCTAGTCAAAGACGGAGATTCCTTCTTTTTAGCTTCTATAGCAAGCTTCTCATTATGAAGCCACTCCTTTTGATCTTGTTCCCCTAGTCGAGCATGTGCATCACAGTGCTTTGCATCTTCACTAACTGTTTCTTGCCGGGTTTTCTCATTATCAGAGCTAGCTCCATCTGTCACCGGGGCATGTTTATCCTCACTCGTATTCCTCCCATCCGATCCTGAACTACATGCACGGAATTGAATATCCGTCCAACACGTATTAGACCTTCTAAGCAAACCACCATCACTATTTCTGAAGGCAATGCTCCTTGATGAAAGTGAATATAATAGCTTTCTTTTAATGAAACTAGCATGCAAAAAAGGGCCCCTCGCTACTATTGAACAGCTCATAGACCGGTCCTGGCAGTTTGGCCTAATGAAATGCTTTGATGGATGAAAGAAAGAACCCCATTTCGGATTTCTGCACTTAACTATTCCCGCATACATTGTAGCTCCTTGCTCCTACTAGCTCCTGCAGTACTGCAAAAACAACGAAACTGTGTTCGCATAAAATCATAAACAGCACCAAAAACAAGAATTTGATTACAAAATCAGCCATAAAACCATTACCCATACACATTCGGCAAAAAAAGGGCACTCAACAAAACCCAAAAAAACTCAAATGTATCAATGCATAAACATGAATGACGAGGAATTATCAAGATATGCGCAGCAAAATTTTACCCAAACAAAACTGGTACTTCGCTATTTCAATCATTCCATTCAAAGTTCACATTTTACACTTTATTATCTTTTTAACAATCAAAAACACTAACAAAAAAGCCAAGGTTATAAAATCTAAGATGAGCCCATTAACCCTACACGTCCAACTAGAAAAGGGCAGTCAACAAACCCTCCAAAAATTCTAATGTAGAAATACCCACACGTGAATGATAAAGAATTCACGTGAATGAAAAAGAATTTTTGCCGCTTGCTAAGTAATTTTACCCTTATATAGCTAATTCTTTAACATTTCCAGTCAATTAACTGCCAAAAAAAAACGAAAAAGCTTCATAAAAGATTACTAACGTTGATGAATTAAGAACTTCAAAACCTAGTCAAAGTTCAGTCACGTGCCTCTTAGGGTGTGATAAAAATTATATTTTTTAGTGTTTTTTGTTTATAAATATACAAAAATAATTTTTTATAATTGTTAAAATTTATTTTTGATATCATCATTTTAAAAAAATAAAAAAACACTAAAAAATAATTTAACACTAAAAAAATCAAAAATTTTCAAATGTTTAATTCAACCGCAATCTCAAATACCCATTTAATTCTTGTTTGGAAATATAATTAAAAATATTTTTTAAAATATTTTTTATTTAAAATTATATCAAAATATTATTTTTTTAATTTTAAAAATTATTTTTAATATTACCATATGAAAACAATCAAAAAAAATATAACAAAATTAATTTAAAATTAAAAAAAAAATTAAAAATATAATTAAACCACTATGTCAAACATTACTTTTGTTTGACACATTTTGAATGTTATGGCTAACGACACATTTTGGCACAAACACAAGTGTTTATGCCCATATTTTAGAACTTATTGATTTTATGAATAACTAAATAGGTCTCTTGTTCTATAATGTAGACTAAATCAATTTTTTCTTAACAAAAAAATACTTTAACAAAGTGGTGTTTGGTGTTTTTAAAGGGACAAGAAGAATATAAAACTCAAGTTATTGATTTAAATGAGTTTAAAAAACTTAGTTAATTCAATAATATAATTGTAAAACAGAGAAAAAGCAATAAATAATTAAAAAATAAAAAGATTAATATCATGAAAATATACCCTCTAAATATTCATTAAAGATTTCAATAATTTTATTTGATTACAAACAAAAATTGAATGAGAACGAGTAACTCTGTAAAAAACAAAGTTGAAGAAATATGAAGCTCAATCACTAATAA